AGTTTCCGTTTACACAAATGGCCCCAAGAGCCTAAGCCACAGTCAAAACTACAGTGACAATAATGGTGTGAGGGAAAAGGATTCTCGACCGAGCATGGTAGGAGTGTACTACACGGTGTTAAATCAACACAACACAGCATACATTTGCCAGAACTCTGGGAATAAAACGTTTCTTTGAAAATATAAATAGAATCAACGTGCATTTATTGATACATTATGCTGGCATATACATTTTTGCTTCTGATGAAACCAAATTAAAACAAAACTTTAATCTAAGTTAGAAAATAAAGGAATGAAAGAAGCGAAAACTAGACTGGTCCGTTTACTATTTAGTTACCTCATCTTTCATTTGGTGCGTTGACCATCTCTGTATAGGGCCGCGTAAGGTGTTCCTAAGGGCACAATTGTGTAGAGCTAAACAGTACGGGAGCCTTGTATTTCGTATTGATGCCAAGTTACAAAACAACACTAGTTAGGTTGAAGGTTTTCCAAAATTGAAAATTCAAAAAAGATAATCACACAGCGGAAAATGCCATGATTCCTATTTTTTTGAAGGGCCGGGGAACGGTGCTTATTACGTCTACTGAATAGTCTGGCCCTGTGGACCGTATATTATGTTTCTCGCAGACCATGTCAACATCGAAAGAATGCCCTCGAGGAGGACATTTACTTTAGTGTGACGTAAAATCCAGTGTCAGTTATGAAAGTGATTTGAGAGAGAAATTAATATCAAATCTCATCTACGGCCAAAATATGTAGGAACCGAGGCGAGACTCTTTCGAGGGAAATGCTAAAAAGCTGACAAAAACATAATTTCTTTTCATAAAATTGCTATCAATTGTTGTTCAAATCATTTACATGCTTCCTTATTTGATTGGTTTATTTCTTTTTTGTTTTACTTTGCTATTTTTTATGTTTTTGATTCTGGTTTTAGTCCAAGTTTAGTTTACTTTTGCAGCTTGGTTGATTACCCTTCATTTTTGTCCAGAACGACGGAATTTGTGTCATTTGTTGGTTTACGGTGACAGGGCTCATTAGGGCGACAGTATCGCCGTAAATATCGCCCTTTTCAAAATGTCATCCGATTTGTTTTTTCTTTTTTAATGGAGAAATAAGTGGCGCTACAAAAGCGTCACACTTTTGTCGCTTTATCCTTCCATTTTGCACGGTCGCCTTATTCCGCGATGTTGGGGTTTTTACCGTTTTTATCTGGGGACTGGTGGATTTATCAATAATTATTTATCAACTTCCTTATTTAATGTTAAAAATTCAAGGCATTAAATTTTATCTTATCAATGGTCTACTCAGGGGAACTGTGATGACTTGAAATTATGAAAATACTACAACAACATCGGAGAAAAAATGAAAACCGAACAAAAAACAATATTGCTAGAGTACAATGAATAGCCACCGTAAACATTGTTTCCATGGGTATTTTCAAGGATATTCACAGTCTAACGTAGATACTTCGCAATTGTTAACAAATACGTAAACATTATGATGGAGGTGGTATTAATAAAATGCAAATGTTAAGGGTGTATTTTGTTGTATGCATTTCTTATTATATTGGTTCTTCAGAAACGGGACAATTTTCAAGCTACAAGAGGTTCGCTGCCACGTTGCCCGCCCTTGTAAACCACTCCAACTGACGATCTCATCAGCAGGACAAAAGTGACCTCACACCAATCAATTTCCACTGAATTATCACATATACGGGCTTCATCTTGTTGGCGAGAACAAATCGCCCCCTCTAGTTAAAATCCCGGATCTCTTCACGGCCAATACGACAGCGAGCGAGTCAATTCGCCCCACCATTAAGCCAAAAGGTTTTCCGAGCTGCACGCACGCATCTGCCCGCGGGCGTTTGATGTGATTGTTACTGATCGATTTCTCACAGTTCCCATCGTGCGTGTACGCCAAGCAGTAAAGCGCCATTTATTGCCTGGAAATCTTATAGTAGGCGATTGACAAAAGAGAGAAAGTCTGCCCCGTAATGCTCCAGGAACAAAGTCGATAACAAAATTCACCCGCAGGAACTTCGTTGGTTATTCCATCTAACAGATATTCTTTGAAACCAGAGCCAGACCATGATAAACCACATACGTGGTGCATATAAAACAAAAATAATTAAAGTACAACTAGAATTTCAATAGGAACGAACAAGCATTATAGACAAGCTATATCAGCCAAGACGGGCTCGACGGTTTCTCGTCTTGAGATTTCTTTATTCGAGAAATATCTATATTCCTGCTTGAATTGTGTTGTTAAGGGTCTTATTAAGCTTCTGGAGGGCACCTATGAGTTTAGTGGGCTCATTCCTACCCTGGAGGCACAAGCAGTAGCGAGGGATTGAGGTTCTGATTTCGGTTGAGGGGAAAATGAAATTCTTTCCTAAAAAGATTTTCTCTTTTTAGCTGTAAAGAATCTCCTCTTTCGTCCCCTTACAAGAATATAAAATATTTGAGGTGTTGGCATTACAATTAAATTGAACGAAAAATGTACCCATCCCGTGTTAAGCTGTAAAAAGTGAGTAACCAGTCTAGCCGATAGTTCTAAAACTCTTCTTTCATCGCGTGAGTAAGAAAGACAGTTCATCGATACTCTTTTTAGTGTAAACTTTGAATGCGTAATTTTTTTTTATTCAAGTTTGTGAAAAAAAAACAATTGCAAAGGAAAGGATTTTCTGTGACAGTTCGCAGAAAATGCTCTCTGTTTGAAACAGTTCTCCGAAGGGAAATGAGGAGGTGTGGTGTAGGCATGCTTGTCATTCGTACTAGACCCACGATCGCTTGTATGCTGGGGCCACAAATACCCAACAATTTCCCCGGAGAATTTCCTGACATATTTGTTATTTATACTGTAGTATTTTGTAAAACCGTCATTTTTTCTTAAGCCTCAATATGTTTCAAAGACCTTTGGCAAATTTGATAAGGTGCCCCGGTGTTGTTAACCTCTAGACAGACCATTAGAAAGGAGGCTAATTCCATCCTATCCCTCCTAAGGGCACCGAGAACGGAAGTGTGGTTAGTGGCGTTCATTTCAAACAAAAAAGAAGCGTTGTGACATAATCGGGTAATGCAAAGGGTAAGATAATAGTACAAATGATAAGCAAATGAAATGGGATTAGAGACTAGAGTTGTTATCACAATGTAATTTAGGAGTCTGAACACACTTCACCGCCAACATCATTGTAAACATGATGTTATTAACTGATGTCAAAAGTATAGACCATTGGCAGTACTTATCTCACTCTTCTTCCACTGAACTTCAAAGTGCGTCTCCATCTGGTCGTGGCATATAAAATTTGATTGATCTTACGCGAAGCGTGTTGAATATCCACTGTACTTTTTGCTAACTCGGTCACCGCGGACATTGTTGGCACTGTGACTTTTTATGTACAAGTGAGTAATTTCCGCCGCAATATATTAAACTCGTGCTGTTCTTGTACTTCACCTGTGAATAATGTTGTCCGAATCGTGCGCGACATCGGGACGCCCCAAACCCCTTTACTGAGGGCCTCTTGCGAAACTCGAGAAAACAAATATTGACGCATTCTTTCGACTTCTGTTTTTCACCAATAGTCACGATTTTATTCTAAGCAGAAGTATTTAACCCGAGTAGTTCCAAACCGATAATATCAGTAAAACAGTAAGTATGCCAGAAGTGTATAACCTATACCGAATGACGATGATGAAGTGTAGGGAGATAGCACAGCAGTTATATAATCAGGCACTGGCTGAAAACGTTTGTCATTCAAAGGCATTGATATACAGTCATTTTAAACACTCCCATCAAGTTCATTATATCTGAGTGCTCCTGATACTATCCCGGCTCCCTTGTGAGTACCAGAATACAGCTAGATGGCTCAAGAGCAAACGACGATAACACCTTAATAATCTCTTCCATCATGGGTACCCATTTATATACTCCTGAGTTGAAAGAAACACGTCAGGGTACTAGCTCAAGGCCACAAAATGTAACCGGTGGCTTAATTCGAGCTCTAACACTGTGATCAGAAATAACAGACCTTAGAACCAGGATTCCACTGAATGAAAGATAGAAGCTCACAATTGGAGCACTGTTCATTGCTTAGGTACCGGTATTTCGAAAATACAGGTGGATTACGAATCATATGTCAGCAGGCGGATAAAAAATCCCGTGTCAGAATATTAAAGATTTGTATCCCTGAATCAAGCGTACTTCGTGCCCCAAAAGTATGCAATATTACAATTATGAAAGTAGATCCCAGTATAGAAGTTCATGACAGGAACGTAATGTACAGAATGGCCGTAGGGACAAAATGGAGTGAATCTGAAAAATGGAAATAAATTGCCTCTCGACAGATGTCCCAGCTCCTAAGATGACTCCCTCTGTCAAGCCAGAACAAATGACTGGCAATTATTTTGTTTGACGGGTGTCCAAGGTCATCTGTTTATCATGGCGCAAGAGAACGAGGGGGCGAATAAGGAGGGGCCACCCTGGCATGTCACCCAAGAATGTTGTCATTAGAACGACGTGAGCGGAGGACAGAGATTGATATTAATAGTGTTTCGGTTGACTGGGGGCGTTTCGTCCAAAGTTTGATTTCTACCGCGCTTCCTCGACGGTTTCATTCACTTCCTTAAAGATAACATCACATAATTATGGGAAAGAATAATTAAAATCATATTGTATAATTAGGCATGATGTCTGTCAAACCGGCAAAAATCATTTTTTTATTTATTTATTTTTTTTTAAGACTGTGATTCAACTACAAGGTGCGTTTTTAGGATACAAACTATAAACAAAATAGGTTTTCAGAGGCCCAACCAAAGTTCCACTTCCCAAGAACGGTTAGCTTATATAAGCTCTGATATCTTTACCTTTTTTTTTTGTTAAAGCATTAATACAATTGACGCATCACTCCTACGTCAACTGCACATGCGTGTCGTCCGGAACAATCGCAGGTTTTCAACAGGGACCTGGAGTCATGCTGCTATAAAAACTTAATTGCGGGGCAAAGTGAAGCATATACAGAAATCCGCTGTGACGAAAGCTCCAATCCGCGCAAACGTACAACACATTCACTGAAGGTGAACGTCAAGAACTGGGTTCGTTACGTCTTCAACGGTAAGAAACCTTTTTTCCCTCTACAAACCTTTTGTACGACTAAGTATCCGTTTCTCTTTTCGCACCTGCGAAAGGCAATGCCAAAATACATGCAGTGTAACGGAAGAAAAACAGCTCAAGGAATAAGTAACGGAAGTTTCGTTTCAAGTGCCAATCCAAAAACCAGTTGCATCACTCCTAGTGTATATTATTGCCAATGTTGAGTAATTCAGTCCATGCCTTGTGTTAACATGTTCTAGCTGGAATATGGTTGATAAGTGCAAACTGGTGCAAGTCGGTGGACCTTTTTTTTTTTTTTTTTTAGATTTCAAGGAGGGGGCTACTCTCTAAATCAAAACAAGCAGAAAGTTCACCCAGTTCCGTTGAAAATTCACCCCTCCGCTTGAAACAAGGGACTAGACAAATTCAAGTGAAATTTAATTCACTCCAACAGATCGACATTTCACTTGAGTTTCCTCAAGGAGAGCTTTTATTTTATTTATTTATTTTTATCAGAGAAAAAACGTAGCCCTTCAGCGAGTTGTAAAGAAAGACTGGTCTCATTAACGCTTATGATCAAAATTTGATCAAAAGTGTATACAAATGTGTCTTTTAATGCTAGAAAATAATGATGCTTGGACCTTAGTGATCTGCCCTGACGAAACTCCTATCTGTACAATATTTGAAAGTAAATGTATACTGTAAATTATCCCAAAAAACAGGTTTCATGGAAATACGCAGGCATGGGTATGCCTTGAAAACATGGTTGGATCATTATTTGGAATTTCTTTCACATTTTGTCTCAAATATTGGTTTAAGACTGAAAGAGTGCAGTTGTGGTCTTACGATTTCAACTTTGGAGGAAAGGTGTGCACGTAAATATGAATCTGTAATACATTTCAACTGCGTGCCGATAAGGATGATGAAATTGGCCAAAAGTCAACGGCCAATATCTGTGCCTATTATTTTGTAACCATAACAATTTGGCACCTCTTTTCTAAGATGCAAAATATTCAGGGGCACAAACCGCATCTCAAATAGCAGAATTTGGTAAAGGTGTTGCGCAAAGAAACATTGGTATTGATGAAATTACCTTACAATATACGTGTTGGACTTCCTTAGGACAGGAATTGTGGCTACAGTAGATGCTTGCTTTAACCAGTAAGCTTTGGACATCACTAATCCAGTCTGTTGAACTGACTGCAGACACTCTTTCGTTCATAACTTCAAATTCCCTCCACCAAAGAAACCTTAGACAACTACGACGACCGTTTCTTCACACATACATCTTGTGCTATATTGCAGCTTTTCACCCACTCCAATGATACATCGTAGTTGATATACGAAGCTTTTACAGCAAAATGCCAACTTTTCAAACAGTAAATTAATATATTGTTGCATTTTAAGATGATGTGCCAGACTAATAAGACAGGCTCGACGTCCATAAGTTAAAGTGAGAGTTTCAAAAAACGACCAGGACAAGAATTAACTTACCTTACAAAACTGATCCCTTTCAACAAAAAGTAAACAGCAACAAGAGTAGGTAAACATTTAAAATCTATACACCATCCATAGTTTAACCAAGAACATCCGTTATGCTAGCACACAACTCAACAGAATCCAGCTCCGCGGATCTCCATCTGTTGTATTTTCGACCCGAAGTAACTGCTGCTGAAGCCGTTACGCAATTAAGGTGCACAGTGAAATGTATTACTGACACGTATTTGGCGTCATTTCGTTTTACTGGCACGTATTTCGCGTCATTTCGTTTCGTACCAACGACGGGTAGTCGGGGTAATGCCATCACAACATTTCGTCTTGCGATTTGCAATTAGATGCCAAAAGGCATGATTCTCTCGGCGAATGCGTGCTCATTGTCTAATGGAAAGAACCTGACATCCTCAGAGTGAAATATTGCAGTACCAGCTTGAAGAGTGCCGTGTGGTAGCCGATTTCAGTGAAGGGCGCTGGATTCAGGTGGGTATTACAATTTTGGCCACCCCTCTCAGACGATTAAAGCGGAAAAGACGGAAATCCGTCTGCTTTTATCGAAATCTTGATCCGTGATTATTGTATTTTGTTGCAAATTGTTATTTAAAGAAGATGAGAGGTATTTGTGATCTTTTTGGACAGTTCTTATGAACGGCAGAAGTGTTGGGGGAATAACTTTACCGACTTCTGAAAACGTGGCTGTCAGAATGGTGCAAACCTGTGTTAATTCTGTTGTAAACTACACTAGTCGTCTCCAAGATATGGAAAGAGGATCTGTAGCGATGCCCTATCCGATTATTGTAAATTTTAGTACATGAGAAATCCTCCTCGTGGATGCCGATTACCCCAGTTATGCATAGAAAAGTGTAGATTTCTATCACCTGACTCCTATGTGAAACGGAGAATGCATTAATACAGGAATTTTCGCTTCCGGCAAAAAATTCCCAGAGCTTTCCGGAGAAAGTATGTTTTATTTATCGGTGATCTCTTGTGGATGGTGTTGGCAGCAGTACATGTATGCAGCCGGCTATCCTTTCCTTTTGAAATGTTATTTTGTGCAAAGCCATTTTGGGTGGAAATCCGACTTTTTTTGAAAGAATTCCTCGAATTAGCTTCTATCGCAAGCAGAGTGCTTTATTCCACTCCTTTTTTATTTCATCGCCAAAGGCCAACCAATCTTTTCCCCATCTTTAAAAATATTATCTTCCTATCCCGTGCGTGTGATTGTCGTATAGCTTCCCAACCCGCGGGGGTGTCGCAATAGTGTCATCCTTTTTACGGTCTCATGTGGCAGAAAACATCGGTTTGATGTCCCGAGGAAATGTATTACCCTGATAGGGGTGGTAGGAGGGAGAAGATCGATGCCGTCAGAGAAAGCATCCGTTACTGGGTGGGCTGTTTGCTTTCATGGAATGAGATATTGCCCGGAAAGCTTCAAACATACTCATTACCAAATGAGAAAACACCTCATTGCAGTCTTTGGTGGCCATCTGCATTGGTTGAAATCGGATACCAATGTAACCTTTGGGGGGTTTGAATTGCTTCGTAATTCTCTTGTACAACATCTTAAGCCTCATTTTTGGGGAATTTAACTTTCACTATAGTTTGTCTGGTCTTGACACCTTCTTTGGCCAAGTGGTTCACGCATACAAAATAGTAGTGCATCTAAAGGTGGGAACCTTTTCCTTGTTTTATTGCTATTATTATGCTCGTATTATCATATTAAACGTGCTAGGTAAAGTCACAGCTCTTGTGACAGGTACATTAGTGGTTCTTCACGGACAAAATTTCGGTTGCAGATACCATGTTCGTGCGTGCTTCATCGCTAGACACAGGAAGGAAAACTGCAGCTTGCAATGAAATATAAGGATTCATTCAGTTTTTGTCTAAGACAGAGTAAATATTATACATTGGTGTCGTAGAGAAAGTAAATTCATTTCACCTTAAGGTGGAATGTTCCATGTCATTCCGCGAAAAACCACCAACAAACTTCAACATTCGTGATTTGTGTAATACACGACGCAATGGGTTCAAATCAACAAAAATAAAGACCCCACTTTTTGTGTTAGGATTATCTGTTTATCACAGACCTGTAAACTAACGTCATCGTAAAATAACAAAGAAAACAAGAAAAGAAAAGAGGATAATTAAACTTAGAAGCATAGTTTAGTAAAATAAAATACTGTTTGCAAGGTTATTTTCTCTCAGTGTAAAAATAGATACAAACACACGAAAATATTGCACAGTTTTAATTCTTACGAATTGACAATCGACCCCCCAAACACGGGACAGTTGGTAAAATAGTATTGTTGACTCCGTTACCCCTCAATATATATATATATATATATATTTTTCTGTTTATTATTGTGAAATTTGGTCGGTAGGTGCCCACGAAGCGTACTCTGTATAGATAGTGCGACAACCAATTACTAAGAAGGTGTTGCACTGCCTTGTAGTCGCAAAGGGGCAGGTAATTTGTCGCGGTGCTGCAAATGGCAATGTTCCAGGCTCAGTCCTACTTCTCTCGCATGTTGTGTCTCCCTAGTGAGCATAAATTAGACTGCGCAAAGAGATAAACTTTACCTAGATTCGGTTTCGGTTTTGGATTTTTCTTCTTCCTCTCTTGACACATCAGAACTGGAAGACGAGTTGATTTTCTCCCCGCGGAGCAAGGTGTAGTGAAATTGGAACCAACACCACGGATTATACAGAACATCCGAGAAAGTACGTTTAGAGCGGAAGTCTATCGACTCCAAACCGTAGCACAAGGCAAGCGGAAAATAAAATGCAAAAAGAACCAAAAGTGCAACCATGGTCTGATAACTGTAAAAAGCAAAGTCCAATATATACTCGTCTCTGCATTAAGTTTAACTATCAAACAGTTTAAAATTAAACACTTGTTTGGAAATAAACTTGTTTCGGTGTTCAGAAAGTGTAACCACCTGATAAAGTTGGGGTTTTCTGTCTTATTATTTGACACCCAAATGTATTGTGTGTAAATGCATCAACACAATTACACGTATTTGCTAAAACGTACACACTGTGTTGAGCTTTGGATGATTAATACCACACCACGTTCAGAAAGTGTTGCCAGGAAGGCGTTTAAGGGTTTGAACATTAGTACCTGTTTTACGGTGTAGACGCTGTCAGTGTAAGTGGCAGCTTCAATTTACTTTTGCTTTTCATTTTTTTTTGGTAAATGCACTGTTAAATATGATCACTAAAATCCTATGCGTGATGCTTCTGACATGCGAAAGCAAGAGAACAGTAAATACTGGCCTCATTTGTTCACTATTAATGGACGCGTGTACAGCGGTAATAATCTTCATTGATAAAAAGGTTTTAATGCTTTGAGTCCTTCAAAGAGATGAGATGTGATCATCGTTGTTGTCCATTTGCCTGAAAGGAAAAACTTCTAATGAAAATTCAGTTCTCAAAATTAGATTTTGACAAACGGAAGTAAATCGTTTAACCATGTACTATCAATAGATCATTTGGCCTCATTTAGGCACCCTGCTGATTCTGAATGA